AAAATACTTGCACGTAAATTCAAAATTTTTTCTTATTTTTAACCACATTCTTCAAAAATTCATTATTCAAAAACTCATTTTTCTACTTTAATGATAGACAAATAGGGGCATAAAATAATCGGAGCTCTATTTTAACGTACACGTCATTGACTTGAACTACACTCTTTCTTTAACCTTGATATGTTTGTAGCGTTCTTGACCCTTCTAAACAATTAGAATTGCGTGGAATTTGACTTCCCTTAAATAAGATCAATCCGAGAGTGATTATAGAACCCACGCATAACTATGCCCTTGTTTAGGCTCCATTGTAATGGAAATTTGGAGGAAAATGAATTTTGTTATAGTAAATTTTTGGAGAATGTGTGGTAAAAAATAAATAAAATATTTCAATTTACCTATAATATTATTTTATGAGAGTCCGTGATTAAAAATGAATTTTGAGAAAATTGGAGCAAAAAATGAGTGATGTTATTCATCTCCAGTGGGGATGAAAACACAGTTTATGTGGTTTTAAATGATAGGTTAAATGAAATGTGAAATTAAATGACTTCTTTAATTTCACTTATCATTTAATGCCATATTAACGCCACCTAAACTGTATTTTTATCTCCAGTGGGAACGAATAGCATTACTAGCCAAAAATAGGTTAAAACGAGAAAAAGTTTCCCCCCAACTATTCAAAAATTTGAACATCCATTGGAAATACCCATTTTTTTGTTTTTAGTTGAGTATTGTTCAGATGTCAACCAAAAATATTGGTTTCCCGTGGATTCGGTCCATTTCTTGCCAAGCCCGTGCAATCTTCGTAATTATACACGAAAAGTCAGGGGCTTCAACGGTTCAACCAAAAAAAAATTAAAAAAATATGGTCCGTTTTCGTTGTACTTTCCGTTTTGAATAATTGTAGCGCCAAGACAGTCCATCCATTACGAGCTTGACTTTCCTGTATGAAGTAAATTTCGAAAAACAAGTAAATGACATTGTATGAAGTCCTCACAACTCTACTTTAACATGCATATCATTGACTTGAACTACGCCCTTGCTTTTAACCTTGATATGTTTTACGGTCAATCATTTGAAGGCCTCATTCTTAAATATATAGGATTGGGCTTCGATGAGACCTAGGTTCTTCAATGTTGAGAATTATAAACTTTAATTATTCTACGTAGAGTAATCAATTCGAATAAAGAAAAATAAACACTTTAGAAAAATCAAGATTTACAGAGGTTAGCCTTAATACGAGACTCTTATCATTTTCGATCGCTACAATTATTTACTATTATGAAAAAAAATTAACGAGAGAAATTCGCATACCTAATTTCACTAGTCCACATTTTCTTCTTTAGAAAATTTTTCCCCAACTATTCAAATTCCCAATTTTTTTGTATTTGGTAGCGTAGTGGTCAAATGTCAACCAAAAATCTTGGTTTCCTGTCGATTCAGTCCGTTTCATGCCAATCCTACACCTTGTCCATTCCATGCATCCTAAGAATAGTCTCAAACAGCCTACCAGATTGAGTTAATATATCATACGTAACACCCCACCGTAACACCTGCATTAACGCAAAAAATAAATTCAACTTTGAAGAGAAAAGCCAACACCATTAACTCACCATCAGTTTCGCCACGAACAAGTCCTCATTTCAGTGCCCTCTTTCTTTTTATCCTCTCTGTCCTTCATTTTCTTCATCATCTTATCACTCTCATAAGGTAACTAACACAAATTCTTACATAAATAAAAAGGGTTTAAATGTTTTGGGTTAATTGTTATTGATTTTGTTGTGTAATTTACAGGACCTTTTTTTGTTATGGAGTGCATTGAAGCAAGAGCGTTGAAATCGAGCTTTCTTTCTCAGACTTCCATGAAAACTAATTCCCAAGTGCTGTTCAACGATGATGGGTGGTGTCTGACCGGAATTAACAGCGGTGCATGCGATGATTTTCCGGTTGAAGACCTTCTTAATCTTGATTTTTCTGATAAGGATTTTCAAGAGGGGTTTTTTAATGAAGATGGACAAGAGAAGGGTGTACAGCACAGAAATTCGAATTCTTCCTCTACTTTTTCTGGCACAGACGAGTTTGATAACGTCCCCTCCGGCGAACTTTCCGTTCCGGTAACGGAAAATTTTATATTTTTGGAAGAAAAAAATCGTTTTTAGAAAAAAGGAAAAAGAACCCAACTTTTGAATTTGTTTACAGGTTGACGATTTGGAGAATCTCGAGTGGCTTTCGCAATTCGTGGATGATTCTACGTCTGGGCTTTCATTATTATGTCCCGCCAGAAGTTTCATGGGGAAGACCGGAGAATTTTCGGAGAACCGAATTGTGCCGGTGAGTAGACCTGCGGTTCAGAAAATCCGCGACCCGTGTTTCCCGTTACTGGTTCCGGTAAAAGCAAGGAGCAAACGGCAAAGGCCGAATGGGAAGACTTGGTCCCTGTCGTCACCGTCGTTGAGCGCCGCCGAGTCTTCTTCTACGACGTCGTCTTCAAATGGGTCCTCCACGTTGTCTCCTTTTGTATTCAAAAACCCGGTTCATGACATGTACTGGTTTTCCAACGTGGAAAAGCCGCAGGCGAAAAAGCAAAAGAGAAAACCAAAGGCTGAAAACGGTTCAGTCTCGGGCAGTTCCCAGACTCTTCGTCGGTGTACCCACTGTCAGGTTCAGAAGACTCCACAATGGCGCACCGGACCGTTAGGGCCTAAAACATTGTGCAACGCTTGTGGCGTGAGGTACAAGTCCGGTCGGCTTTTCCCTGAGTACCGACCGGCTTGTAGTCCAACTTTCTCTCATGATGTCCACTCGAATAGTCACCGTAAAGTTTTGGAAATGCGGCAGAGGAAGGAGATTGTTGGGGTGGCCGACGCCGGTCTGACTCCAATCAATCCGTGTATCTGAGGTTTAGAATTAATTATGAACCGGTTTTCGGAAACCGGTCCGTTTGGTCTAGCTCGGCTGCGTTTCGAATGTACAATCTTGGTGGTGGACAGTAGGCTGGTAGGTGGTAGGCATAGATTTTCAACGGAAATTGTGGAGGTTAAGAATTTAGGTTTTAATTTTAATTAAATTAAATTTTGGTTGTAGTTATTTACTTGCAGTTTTAAATTAATGAATAGTCCTATAATTAAGTTTAATTAATTAAATCTTGGATTATGAGTTTGTTGATTACTCTTAATTGTTTAAAATTTTTAAAGAATTCGAAACGGACGAGCGGTTTTTGGTGGATAATTAACGTTGAAAAAATGAAAAGTAGCACAAGATTTCGGTGCACTCAATTGATTTGGGCCCATTTGGTTTCACGTCAATATGTGGGTTGGAGCCCACATTAGTTGTGTGGTCTTTACCCACTTCTTGATTTTTAGAATTAAAATATCTCCTTCAAGTGATAATTAAATACAAATTTTCACTATTTTTGAATTTTGCATGATTATTTTTTATTGTAATAATACGTAAAAATGTCAAGACAATAGTTAAATAATTTGCAATGCATATATGAAAAGTGATCAAATATGGTTATATTCACATTTCGATTTCGTGGGACCTGCAATTTATAATTACTTAAATTTTAATTTAGCCCTAATTTGACACTTATTTTTCAAATCAAAATGTATTCTTGAATAATAATTTAATCTTATTTCAACCGCACATTTCTGAATAAAATAACATTATAAGTAAGCTCAAAACTCTTCCTTATTTTTTAATAACAAATTCTCAATCATAACACTGTCACAAAATGCATTTTTTAAAAATAATAATGGGGCTCAGGGGCTCAAACAAGGGTTTAGTCACTTCCCAAACAAACATTCACAAAGGAGTCCAATTAGGAACAATGTCAGTCTAGGTAACAATAGGGCTCATTATCATTTAGACTGGTGTTGATCGCGACTAATGATACTATCCGTGAATAATTATTCTGTAGAATTCGAGTATTTCAATATTAATATTTAGTTTGATATGTTGAGTGGAACCAAATACAAATTACTACTAAGAGGCTTTATAATTTAGGGTAGAACTTGAGCATTTTCTTGATTTACAATTGAATCTGATAATTCAATCCACCAATTTGTGTGAGTGGGTGACTAGTCAGAGTGCCTTATTCTTCAATGCAAAGACTTGTAAATATTTATTTATTTATTTTGGTGAAGGGACCGTATTTTATTGAGAGAAGCACCAATAGGAAATTGGAGTGATGATGGCATTAATTGATGGATGGGCCTTCCCGTGAATAATTGTTGTAGCCTAAAAGTTACATTCAGACACAGGCATGCCATGTGGGAGTTGGCTGCGCATCATTATTTTTTGTTTCCTACGATTGAGCCCCATCTTTTTGTGTAGAATATATTTTGTAATATTAGATTGATGTAAAATATATGGATGAAAATAAAGAAAAAAATTTAGATTGCGTGTAATATTATTTTATTGAAGAATGTGTGATTGAAAAGAAGAGTGAGAAAAATATATTTTGTAAAAAATGGAGATTAAACAAAGGCTAAATTCATACCTGCTACCAGTGGAGAATGAAAAGAAGAAAAATCCCAAATTAGTGTAGAATGCATTTTTTAATAGTAGATTGATGGAGAACGCACATTTAAAAATGAAGTAAAGGTTTTTGGGTTGTGTGTAATATTATTTTATTGAAAGATATGTGGCTGAAAAAAAGATTGAGAAAATATATTTGGAAAAAAATGGGGATCAAACAAGTCCACAGATGTTTAATCAGTAGTATTAGAGTGCCAGTCTATATGTGATAGGTTCCTTTTTCTTAGTAAATTTTAAACTCATTTTTGAAAATTCGTTTCTGAAAATAGGTAAGTAAACATGTTTTCAGTGTTTTCGAAAATTAAAAACTGAAGATGGTCTCAAAACAGTAAAGAGAACATGCCCTTATTTATTGAGAAAACTCAAGTATATTAACCGAATGTTCGTTTTTCTTTCGCAGAATCTAACTCAACTCTAATGTTACTTTCATAAAAGTTCTCGAAAAAATATATCAGAATTTGAGAAACAATTCAGTTATTGACGAACTTTCGAGTGAACGTTCTAGAATAAAGTAATGTCTTCTCGTTTCCGTTCACAACTTTTCGAAAATTCTCATTCGACAAAAAATAAAAACATGGGATGTCATGACAACTATGATAATGTTCTAATAGTTGAACATTATTCTAGTTTTCATTCTCACTTTGAAATTACTCTCTGGTTCTTGTATTTGTTAGGGGGGGGGGGGG